CTTAGAAGTCAGTCCATGTAATCATCTAGCTAGATTAGATAAGGATATGGCAGTAAACAAAATGGCCATTCTTATCCAACTTGGAGTCTGACAAGGGGAGATAGATAATAAATAAAGTAAGTAAAAGCATGATGTGGCAGGGAGCAAGAAGTGCTATAGTGAAAAATGAAGGAGGGAATATGCTCAGGGTTTTCAGGAGGGAGACGACAGTTTTGAGTGGATGGAAAGTTTCTCTGGGAAGATGGTGTATAAGAAAAGATGAGAAGTGGGGGAGAGAGAGCAAGGCCTGGGCCTGACAGGGTAGCAGGGGATACACCAAGGAGGTGAGGCATCCCTGGCATGCCCAAGAGAAAGCAGAGGATGCCCGCCAGTGTGGCCAGAGTGGAGTGGAGGAGACAGTGAGGAGTAGAAGGCAAGGAGATGTGGTGGCAGGGTAGGAACAGGACCATGTAGGTTCTTATCCCACGGGAGAACTGGCATTTATTTTGCAGCACTGGGGGTTCTGGGGCACTAGAGAATTGTATTCTGTGGAGGATATGATCTGAGTTATGTTTAGTTAAGATCACTTGGGTTGTTTTTCCAGAGGAGAAAATAAGTCAGGAGCCCTCTGTAAAACTAATAGAAGCAATGATATTTGGTTTGTTCTGTTTGTTTGTTTGTTTTGCAGGGTAGGTGGGAATGGCTGGGGTAGACAGGCAGCTTGTATTCAGATGTGTTAGATCTGAGACGCACACTGGGCATCAAGTAGAGCTGTCAACAGCCAGTTTGACATCAGCCCTGTGGTTCTGGGCAAGGCTCTGGGCCAGAGTTCTAAATGTCGTCTGCATGAACATGTTTACAGCCAAGAGACTGAAAGAGATCCAGTAAGAAAGTATAGGCAGAAAGGCACAAACATCTAAGATAGACATCCAGATCCAAAAACTGGGGGCCTGAGAAACAACCAGCAGAGGAAACAAGGGATGGTGAAGCAAGAGGAAGCCAGGCTTAGGCTTCCAAAGGAAAGCAAAGGGCTAGTTAATTATGCCGAGTGTTGCTAGGAAAGTCACTAATTATATAGGTGAGGTCACTAATTATATCTCATCATTTTATTTAGGCTGTTATTTCCCCTCAGTCTTTTAACTCACTCTTTCAAAATGTACCTAAACTCATTTTCTGTCTTTCTTTCTTTTTTTTTTTTTTTGTAACACCACAACACCAGACAGACACACACGTCACTTCTTTTGCCTCTTCTTCTAACAGAAATCACACAAACTTCACCACTGTTCCCTGGATCACAGCAACACAAGAACTGGATGCCAGAAGCCTAATGCAGAGACCTTTTTGTAAAGGGAAGGGAAATAGAAGGAAGTGGAGGCCACAAATTTTGATAACTGTATGCTTCTTAAAATTTTTGTATGTGTAGACTAAAATTAAAAGCATTCAAATGAACCAGCTATCAAAGAAACATAGATTAAAATAAATTGTCTGTCTTTTTTTTTTTCAAATCAAATTGGCATTTCAAAAAGCAAAGCCCGTATGGGCAGGACACAGCAGACTTCCCCATATACCACTGGTGGAAGTGTTAATTGGTAAAACTTTTCTAGTGGGCAGTTCGAAAATATATGAGTAATTTTTATAGGTTCCTTCTTCACACCTTTTGGTCCAGTAATTCTGCTTTTAGCAATTTATCACAAGGAAACAATCAGAATGCATACCAAGATTTCTGTAAAAGAGATATTTATATTAGTGCTGTTTCTTATAAAACTTAGGAAGTAGGATTAAGCAAAATTCTCCACTCTTGTAGAATACTGAAATACCTGAATGTTGTTACATATAGAATTTATAGATCAAAATAATAATTAAAATAATTTAATATCCAACATTAGAGGATGAATCAACAGACTGAGATTGCCACAAAAATACTCTTCAACAAAATAATATTTTAAGTACCTGTGCACATATCAACAAAATACTGTCAAAGAAAAAAAGACAGGTATAAAATGGCATTTGTGGCATGAGTCTTTTTTTTTTCTTTTCTTTTCTTTTTTTGGTCCCGGGGATCGAACTCGGGTCCTTGTGCTTGCGAGGCAGGCGGCGGAACCACTGAGCTAAATCCCCGCCCTTGAGTCTATTTTTTAAGGAGAGAGAATTAAAAGATTTATCAACTAAAGTCTTAATAGTAATTATTTTTGTGCATACTTGACTGAACTTTTTATTTATCCAAAAATGTTAATTGAGGTCCTAACACATAGTAGCACTGTCCTGGGGGTTTGGGTCCCATCAGTGAAAACTGATAGGATTCCTCCCCCAGAACTTGCATTCTAACAGGAGAGAGAATAAGAAAGGAGGCAATAAGTGCTAGAGGAAAAACAGAAGGGTTGGGAATGGTATGGGTATGATTTTAAATACAGTAGTCAGGGTAGGTCTCATTGAAAAGTGGCATTTGATAAAGACCTTAGGGAGTAAAAGGAATTAATCATGTGAATATTGAGTGAAAGGTTGTGTAAATAAGAAGATCAGCAAAAGGCACTAAGGTGAGATGTGTCTGATGTACCTGAGGACCAGGAGAGTGTATGGTTGGAGCCAAATGAAGGTGGTAGGAGGAAATGAAGTTAAAGAGTAATGAAGAGTCAAAGTAGACAGTGGCTAATGTAAGACTCTGGCTATGTTGAGAAAAGCTAAGTTAAGGAGCCACTGGGATCATCTAGATGAGAGACAGTGATGCTGGGATCAAGGGTTAATGGTGGATATAGATGAGAATTGGCCAGATTCTGGGTATGTTTTGAAAGTAGAGCCAACAGAATTTCTTGGTGGTTTTGTTAAGGGTGGGTCAAGAGAGGCCTTTAAGGTTTTTGGCTTGAATGACTGAAAGAATAAAGTTGTCATCAATTGAGACGAAATGTCTAGGAACAGAGCTGGTTTTGGGTGGCAATGGAGAGATCAGGAACTGAGCTGCAGACACCATGAGTCTCTGCAAGGGGTGATGTTCAGGAGGCAGCTTACTGTGAAAACAGAGTTCAGAGGATGCATCTGGGTTTAGATATGCTCCTGAGAAACATGAGCAACAGACGCTATCTGAAACTCTGAGAATAGGTGAACTCACAAAGAAAGCAACTGCGGACTGTATAGCGGTCTCTTCCTATCAGTAGCATAAGAAGACAAGTACTAAACAGGAAGGATGGTTGATAAAATAACGAGTGAGGCAGAAGCAGTATCAGAAGGCTATGGGGCAAAAAGAGCATTTCAAATGCTGCCGGGAGGTGAAGTTGAGAAGTGAGTATTAAGCATGGACTTACCAACATGCAGGTCAGAGCACTGATGACTGGTTTTGGAGAAATGGATCAAGCATGAAATGGAAAAGGGCAACTGAAGGCTGCAAGTGCGAACAACTCTTTTGAGGGAATTCACTGCAAAAATGCTTAGAGACATGAGCATGGCTGACTGGGAAAGTGGAGTAAAGAAAGAGTTGGATTTTGTTTTTCCTTTTAAATGGAATAAATAGCCACATGTATGTTTATTACTGAGTATCCGAGCCACTCTATTATGATCAGTGATACTCTCAGGATAGTCAAGTGACAGCAGAAAGTATGATTGAGACGTCACACAAGGATTGCTTGGATGACTAACCTCTGGTTTGTTGGTCTGCTCTATTTTGCTGCCTAAAATTCCTAACTCTTCATCCTCTCCATTGGCTCAGGGGGTCACACTTACAATATAAACATTAAGGGTCAGCATACCCTCACAAAACAATGAGCATTATCGTTAAGGTAAGCATCTTCCCCAGCCTTCCTCCACTCCACTCCAAAACACATATACTCCAAGAAGCCATTCACTCCCAGTGGGAAGCCTGGGATTTGCAATCTTGGAATTACAGATTGAATAAAATCATGAAGCACTACAATCTGTTGTAGGAAGTTTTGGAAATAAAATGAGGAGAAAGAAAAATCTTAGCCCTTTGACTCCATTCCTCCAAGAAATTTGTAACTCTTGAAACCAAGGTACCTATTTGCAGTTGCTTCACAAGAAGTTTTTAAAAAATGCTATAGCAAAGGTGGAAAGGTAAGAGTATATATGATATGTCTGAGGACCAGTAAAATGTTGTGTGGCTGGGACATAGCAATAGGAGATGAGGTTTGGATATACCTGCATTAGAGAGCTCTGCATACCTCAGCCAATGCTTAAACCTTAATTAAACTTTAGCTCTTGCCCTCACTCACCCACGGCACATGCCTGTCTCTCTTCCACACATATATCATTCTGACATGGCTGTCCTCTCTCTTTTTTTTTTTTTTTTGGTACCAGGGATCGAACTCAGGACCGTACGCTTGCGAGGCAGGTGGCAGCACCACTGAGCTACATCCCCAGGCCGATCCTCTCTTTCTCTCCCATCAATCAGTATCATCATTCTCTTTCCCTCCTCCTTATAAAAACTAGTTTTCTGATAAGAATTGAAGAAGCAATGATAATTTAGAATTGGAAGAGTTTGTTTTTTTTTTTTAATAGATCCCATTGATCAAGTGAAGGGAATGGGTCTCATTAGGACAAAGTGAGCAGCCTAGAACCAACAGCCAATTAAATCTACAAGATTTGGGAAAAGTCCAAAAATGATTTGATGTACTCATTTACACTGATACATGCTGAGATGTTGAGTGGTATGCTTTCTCATGTCAACAGAAGCCAAGCCTTAGTCCAAGGAGTAGATGATGAAAAGTAGAAACAGCTGGGGGTGATGTTATCCATTTAGCAGTGGGATGGATTTTTGTTGGACAAGCAGATCCTTGATTTGTCTTTGTCTAATTTCTTTCCCATGAATGATTTTGGAAATGTCTGGAGACATTTGGGGTGGTCACAACTCTGAGAAGAAACTGCTATTGACACAGAAAGGTGCAGGCCAAGGATGCTGCTAAATGTCCTACAACATTCAGGATAACCCCTTTCTCACATTATTACACCCAAAGAATCAGCAATTTTACCAACTCTGGAGTACTCTGAAGGTAAAAGGGGTGGAGGGAGAAACTTACCAAAAGTTGGCTCTGGAGTAATATTCCATGTAGAGGTGGTCATCAGAAAAGGGGGCCAAGTGTATGTCACCGAATGTCGGCAACATCATTCCTATTGAGTAAGAGACAACAGACCCAGAAGTTGACTTCTATTGCATTCCAACTGAAGGATACATTCACCTGCTACTGAAGAACAATTCCATTCTTTAATTCTACTTCTGTTATTATACAACAGGAAAAATATACTGCTTCCAAGCAAGGCTTTAAAACAAAAGTAGACAGAATTGGGGAAATATATAAAAGAATAGCCAAGCAAGTCACAAAGCTATTGATGATAAAAACTTGTATTAGGTAAGACATTTAACCTGGCACAGTTGCCTTTTTAAATACTCTTTTTTTCCCTTTCTCTATGACCCATGTTTGGAATTCTGGGCTCTTTCTCTCATTATTTAATTTCTTACTGACTATAAAAGTAAGTCAGCTTTGAAAATAATCAAAATCCATCATCTCATCCTGCTATTTTCATTCTCAGACCGTGATCCACTACACTCATCTTGAGTGCCATTGGAGTTCATGCTCACATGGATGCTCACCATCCTCCATGCTACCCAGCTCACCCCTATGCTTGTTTCCTGGCTTCTCCAGGTACTACAGGACAGGGAGACTCTAGTAGGTAAGTGAGCATCTCAAGTGCATGCCTGAAGTCCTGCCTTTCTGAGCAGGTAGACGTGATGATTGACATTAGTACTCTTGTAATTTTAAAGAGAATCTTTTTCATCGTCACTTATTAAATGGCACTTTAAGGAGATGAGCTGATGAGCTATTAACTATTTTAGAAATGAGAATGACCTAAATAACCTGAGCGTGCTATCTCTGTCATGTACTTTCCTATGGGTTTTCCATGCATTCATTTACTTAATCCTCAAAATGATATAAAGTGGGTTCTATTATTATATCCATTTTATAAATGCAGGAATGAAAGAAGAGAGAAATTTTAATGATTAACCCATGACTTTTAGCTAATAAATTAAAGAGCAAAATCTAGGAGGTGGAATTTCATTCAATGGTCAGTAGCCCACACTTTAATGATGGTGCCTATCATGTTTGTTAAATGCAACAGATCACCTTATGTTGGTATTTTCAGAGGTAGGTAGAGACAAAGCAGATTCTAAAACCACTCATATATTCCCACCTAAATCTTATGTGTTAGTGTCAAAACAGTAAAAAACTGCTTAGTCATTTTTGAATTTCAAGAGAGAAGAAGGTCTTGAGTTTGATCCCCAGTACCAAGAAAAATTTATAATCAAAACAGAAGAACATAAAACCACCTTAGAAGAGTAACATGTGTCATCGCTTGTATAAATGGGAAGCTCCAGACTGAGCCTCAACCCTAACAGGAATTCTCAGGACATCATATAAGATGGGTGGGGGGGAAATCATCAAAGGTAAAATTTTTTTTAAATCCCCAAAGTAAAAAATAATGAGTCTTCTAATTAAAAATAGTCACTGAATTCCCAGAGCAGGAATTAAGAAAGATTCACAGCAGGAACACTAGAAGTACAGAGAAGATACTAATAGGAGCCAGGGGGATAAACTATGTCATTCTAAGGATCAGGAGCTGAAATGGTATTGGACCCTTCAATAGCTAAAGCCAAAATAAACAAACAAAAAACCAAAGAATATTGAATAAAAATTGCTCTCAAGTTAAACTCTCTACCTGGTTGAATAACACAAAGGCCCAATCCATAGTAATTTCTCAAGCATCTTTTTCCAGAAGCTACTAAAGAACATCTTTTTCTGGAATATTATGTGAAACAAAAATGAGGTATACAACCAAGGTGGGAGCAAGTGGTTCCATCTGCTGGAGGAGGTCAGAAGATAGGAGAAAGATGTCCACAGAACAAGGCAACTAACAGCAGGAAAATCAAAAGATTATAGGAGAAACTAAGCACGATCATGGACCATCTACACCACCACCTAACTCAGAACTAAACAATGTCACATCACATCACATCACATCAAAACAATGTGAACACGGATTACTGATTTAACAATATTATGATCTAAGTCCATTTTTCTTTATCTTAAACTCTGGAATTAAAAAAAACTATGAAAAGCAACAGATTTTTGTAAGTTTAGAAAAATACCGTTTGACGGCAAAATCTGATTTGAACTGACACGGGTCTATTTATGGTCTTTATTTATCCAACTCTGGTATCAATATTCATAATTTTTTGTTGCAGAAATGTAATGTGTTTCATTATGGAGTGTTGCCTCAGATCCCACTGGGGATGTTAAGTAATACATGGTCTATGATTATATTAACTTTCTCAAGTCCTCCAGAGTTTGAATTCTGAACTGCTTCTGGCCCCCAAGGTTTAGATGAGGGATTGGGAGCAAGTATAAATATATTGCAAAGATGGAGGTGGAGAGGGCACAATCAAGAATGGAAGGAGTTACTATACAGATAATTTTGCACAGGAATATGAAGGCACAGAATGGAAGAAACTGCAAATAGAATTAAAAGTGGTTGCCTCAGGGAGCAGTCTGAGGAAAGCAAGAGATGTAGCAGAGGCTTATTTTCTTATAAGGCCTTTTATTATTATTTGGTGTTTTAAACTATGTCTTATTTTGACAAAAATTTTTTGAAAAATTAAAAACAATCGCCCTTTCCTCAGGAACACAGAGGTTAGAAAGTCAATAAAATCAGTATTTATTTCTGCTTGTTTAAAGATACATAGCCTAGTATGATATTTCATATCTATTTCAAATACCTTGGGGGGAAAAAGGATGCCCAGATAATAAGTCTAAAGCTTAAGAGGGGCTCAGTAGATGCATATTAATTAACTATGTTTAAAATCTTATCATACAAAAGTACTTAAACCATCTGAAGAAAAATCCAGGAAAGAAAAAAATACAAAACTTCTTCCCAGAGGCAGGGAAGAGGAAATCCAAGTTGTTTTGCTCCTTTCATCTCCCATGGTTCAGTTTTATCATATGAACACAAGACTTCCATGATCACCCTGAGCTGCTTTCAACAGGACTGCCAATGCAGTTCTTGACATTAGGAATGCTTTGCCTGAGCTCGTTTATTTATTTTTACATGAGGTTTTTACTGCCTATTTCTGAACTCCTAAAATTTGAAACATGTGGGAAGTTATAGATCAGTTTCGAACTTTATCACTTATTTATGTATAGTGCATAACTTGGTTTGTATGAGTTGCAATATTGTTTACTATTTTGTCTTTATTGACCATTAAGGTAGGCAGCCACAACATTGTTATTTAAAGTAAATAAAATTGAGGCAAAGAGCTGAAATCCTCATGAGAGGTATACATCTTTTAATACTGGCTTGTTATCTTCTATGCCTTAGTTGAAAAGAAAACACTCTATTGGAACAGTTCTGTGCTCTCTGGTGAGGAGTAGAAAGTGTATATTCAGGAGTCATGGGTGTGACAGACCTGCATTCAAATCCCTGCCTTCACTTTTTACATCTGCATTCTTGTCAAGTTTGTTTTCCCTCACTGGGTTGCAGTTTTCTTTTTATAAGGTAGGTATCATAGTGGTGTCTCTTGCTAACTTTGGTCTCAAACTCACACTACTGATATTTTGGGCTACATAAATCTTTGCTGTAGAGAATTCTGTGAAGTGAAGGCAGTTTAGCAACATTCATGGCTACTCTCAACTGGATGCCAATACTCCAATCCCTGCTGCCACTGTGACAGCCATAAATATCTCCAGACACTGGGCTATCACCTGGGGAGGGATGCAACATTATTGAGAATCTCAGTGCTGACTTTAAAAATAATTTGAAAATCTCCATTACTCAGACTTTGGAAGGATTTTGTCACTTGAATTGCTTGATACTTGTACACATAGTTACTTGGTAAGCACACACAAAATAATCACTGGATTTACTGTAGTCCCCTCTCATTAGTATGCACCAAGACCCTCAGTGGATGCCTAACACTACAAATAGTACTGAATCATTCATATATATATATATATGAATAAATAGAAATGATATATATCACAAGAAGAGATTAATAGCTGTAACTAATAGGAAAAACATAACAATCTGCCTTAATGTTATGTGAATGTGTCTCTCTCTAAAAATATCGTATTGTACTGTACTCACTGTTTTTTTTCCTGTGATGAGGTGAGATGATGCAATGCCTATATGATAAGATGAATGAGGTGCTAATGGGTGGGAAGCATTTACAGCATGGATCAATTGGACAAAGGGATGATTCTCACCTTGGGAAGCATAGAGTGAGATGTATAAGATTTCATCATGATATGGTACATAATTTAAGACCCATGAGTTGCTTATTTCTTGACTTTTCCATCTAATATTTTCAGTTCGGTTGATCATGGGTAACTGAAACCTCGGAAAGTAGAACTATGACTAAGAGGAGCCTACTGTAATATTGTCTTAATGACGTGCGGTGATCATAGGGGAAAAGAGAAATACAGTAGGACAAGAATACAGTATATCAAAAAGAACAAGCAGACCCCAAAGATTTTCACATCTTCTAGAAGGCCAGCACCGGAAAAGGCAATAGAGATTATGTATTATAATAGATGGTTTTATGGATGAGGAAATAAAAGCTAAAGGTCAAATGTTAGCCCAAGTTTATTAAGGAAAACAATGATAGGACCACAGAAAAAACACATACCTTTGAACTGACCCTGGAGACCACATTGAATTCTATGCAGTACACCTGTGTCCTTATGGCTGGAGAGTAGCTAACTTATTATGTAAGAGTAAGATGAGAAAAGTAAATGACTGAGTATAACACAAACACCCTCCCCTTTTTTTTTTTTTTTTTTTGCATGGAATCAAATGTGGAGGAAAGAGGGTAGCAACATTTCGTAGAGGAGTTACCCTATTTTCTAAGCTAGGAATTGACCAACTCACCATTGGATTTTAGCCATTTTTTGGAATGAAGGTAACTCTCCAGCATTCTCTCATTGAAAAGCATGAATCCCATTGGTTCAGAAATGATTACATCCACATTCTCAGGAAGTGAGACTTCTTCAATTTTTCCATGCAAAACAATGATCTTATCTGAAAGGCGGTTACTTTTCACTAGTGTCTGAAAAAGATAAAGTGGTGTACTAGTACTGTTGTTATTCAGAATCCTATGAAAACCAATAGTTCTAAACAACAACATTCATATTCAAGTTACAGGTGCTGAGTAATTTCTTCTAGCAACGAGAAAGTAACTAATACAATATTTTTTCACTAAAATAGAGAAATGTAGATGAATGAAAACATGAAAATAAAAATCACATATTTCTGTCATCCAGACATGGGTAAGGTACATTTCCTGGAAGCTATTTGAATGTTTGTCAGAATTCAATGTAACAATATTGATAATCTTTTTATTAATTAGAGGTCAAGAATATGATTGGAAAGTAAAAGAAATAACATATTTTTCTTGAAACATTTCTAGAGAAAAATAACTTATTTTTCTTACTGCACAAATACTGTATGCTTATTATAATTAGATGACAGATGAATAAAATTTAGAATGCTACCCCATAGAATATTTTTATGTATTCTATTCAACAAATAGGTATATGTGGCTTGTGTGCTCTCTACATGAGTATATATATATATATATACACACACACATATATACATTTAGTGGGAATGTTTTTTTAATTCATGGCTTTCATTTATTTCCTATTATTCTACCCGTAGTAATGCCAAACAACTCTGTATAGTAATCTTCCATAAATTAATGATCCTAGTCTTTATAAATTATCCTTTGGCTTCTCATTCAAAATATAAGCCTGCTGTGGCAGTGCGTGCCTGTGATCCCAGCACTCTGAGAGGCTGAGGCAGGCAGATTACAAGTTTGCGTTCAGCCTAGGCAGCTCAGCAAGATTCTCTCATAAAGGGAGTTGGGGGCTGGGGATGTAGCTCAGGGCAAGACTCTGAATTTAATCCCTAGTACTGCTAGATAATATTATAAATAAATAAATAAATACTAACCGTTCTCTAGAAGTACACTTTAAAAGTCATGCGCTCATTTTCTTTGATGTTCTGTATATTCAATAACTTCGACTCTCTTAAAAGAGGGACTCTGAGAAGAATATATTCCTAATATATTTATTAATGTCAAATATAAAAGGTGAATACATATACATCCTTCTGTCTTAAAAACCTTCCAAATAAACATCTTATATGCACCAGCATAAATACACACAGTACACTCTTATCAAGTTGTTCTTGAGACTTAAGAGTTTTTTTATTTATTTTATTTATACTTGGTGATGGACCTTTTTATTTTGTATTTTCATAGCATGATCCCTTTCCTCATCTTAAAAGCAATGGTCTGTGAATTTGTCGTGGTTCAGTAGTACTTTCTCAATTTCTGATCACTTCCTTAAATACTAGGTAGAACATCTTTCACTTGAAATCTCGCCCCTTAGGGTGCTGTTCACTGACACACGCCCTGTAAGCTTATTAAATACCTCTTCTCCTTAACATTTATAAAAGCCATGTAATCTCTGATCTAATAAAGAATAATGATGAAAACTGTTTGAACATGTCATCCATTGTCAACACTGCTCCCTGGATAGGCATTCTCAGAATTCTATCATCATTCCACACACAGAAATCAAGTACGAGGGAGTTCCATTAAGAGAAGGTGTAAAAGGTAAAGCTTTTGCTGCCTGATATCTTCTCCCTGAATGCTCTTTGCAGAACCTGTACAGCTCTAATTGTGGTTCCATTCCCAAAGACCATGCAGATTACATCTTTTGGTTCCCTTTCTTGTCTGAGTTCCCACAGTCACCTGGACATCTCCCCTAGTATGCTTTGCCATATCAACTTGAAAACTAATCAATCCTCTAGATTTACTTTCAAATCTTTGCAATATCTGGTGCTTTGATGATTCCACTTTGGTTACTAATACACAATCCTCATTGTCCTAGTGGTGTAGTTAATCCCCACAAGTAGTTATATTTTATTTATATCTTTTAGATGAACCTTATTTCCAACTTTTACTTTCTGCCTGTATCAATTTGTCCAGTTTCTATGAGTTTCAAATCTAGAACTGCATAATATTTATATAATGAAAATAATAATGGTGCTGATTACTTCATAGGTTGGTTTGAGGATCAAACAAAATAAAGCATTATAAGAGTGGTACAAGCAGCAAAATTTTATTATAACATTCTCATTAAAGAATACTTGTTATAGTTTCAACTTATAATGGCTAGAAGTCTCATATGTGGGACGTAGGGCCTGGTTGGAAGAAGTGGGTAACTGGGGGCAAGACCTGAAAGAGTGTATTCTTGTCCTCAGCTCTTCCCTTCTCTCTTTGCCTCCAGCCATCTTGGGGTCTTCTCACCATGCTGCTTCTGCCTTGGAACTGGCCAATCATGGACTGAACTTCTGAACTGGCAGCCAAAATAAACTTCTTCTTCTTTAAGTGACAAGTGTTGGGTAATTTCTTCTAGCACTGGGAAAATAACTAATACAATACTTTTCACTAAAATAGACAAATGTAGATGAGCAAAAGCATGAAAATAAAAATCACTTATATTCTTATCATCCAGATGTAGGCAGGGTATACTTTCTGAAAGTTATTTGTTTGCCAAAAATTAATGTAATAATATTTTACAATCTTTTTATTCAATACATTACAGGACAGTTTTCTAAATATTATTTTATACAATGGCATAAATTTTAAAATTCAATGTTTTTATGGTACAGTTGGGTGAAAGAAAAGATTAATGGCAGTTCAAGACATTTGAGCTGGGGACACTGACCACACTAGACTCTAGCTGCTATGTGGAAAAGGGTATCAGTATCTCAGTACCTGACACACATACTGGGAAGTCCTGTAGCAACAACTTTCCATGAATTGTTCTCCAGAATAATTTTTATTGGCTATATAATAATTCATAGATGTGATTTGGTTCATTTAATTATCACTGAGGCTGTTGCAAATTTTTTATTATTATAATAGTGCATCAATACATAATATTGTAATTACATTTGGGGAGATATTTCCCACAGTTTCCTTTGAAATTAAAGGGTCAAAACTTTTAAGGGATTCTGACACACATTGCTCCACTCCCTACAAGGAAAGTTGTTCTTTTTCTAGATTTCATGCCTATTCTGAAATCTGTTCTTGGCACACAACACAATCTCAATGTATAAACTACCTTTTTTCTTCACCATCTTGAATTTGGAACAGAATGTTGGAAGGGTAATTTTTGCTGGAGAGGACAATATGATTGGTTATTCAAGTGAGTGTGAGGTTGACCCTATATGCAGAATTTACGGTGAATAATCTTAGACTCTTAAGCCCTCAGGAAGATCAGGCATGTAATACAGTTTCAGAGGCGTGGAAGTATAAATAAGCAGAACAACAATTTTTGGTCTACAAGAGAGAATTTTGAGGCTTATTTTTGTCACTGGTGAAGGAGGATAGGCCACCTGCCAGGAAGTGAGCACTGTATCTTTATCTGTTTTGACCACTGTTGAAGAGCAGTAGATCAGGAATCCGAAGATAAGGAGTCTAATTCTTCCTTTACTATCATCAAAGAGCTGTAAAAGTCACTTAAACCTTTTGAAGTTTAGTTTTCCTCCTTGTAAAACTAGGGTGTACAACTGGAGCTGTTTTAAGACTCCTTTTTGTTTCAGCCTTTTACAATAGAAATAAAGCAAAATTTCCCAAAATATGTTTTAGGAGTTCATGAATATAAAGGCAGCATGATCAAATAATTTTGGAATTGATTTGTAGACCTCTCTTACAAATATACAGAGCCATTAGCATATTAATGGCCTTGAGAAATTCCACAGAAAAGAAAACTGTTGACTTGGTTAAATCAAAGAAATCCAAACTTATTTGAATAGTTTGCAGGGTTTTTTTTCACTGAATATATATTTATCTTCCACAGACCAATCTTTAGGAAACAATGAAAACAGTTCTTTGATAATTCTAGGTTTGACTACAATTGCTTAACAAAGATATTTGAAAATAGGACATGAACTGAACCAACAATAGCTTTGACTAACACATAAGATGTAATTCCAGATGTAAGACACTCCAGTCTTTGAATTACTCTTGCTGCCTCCCTTAACATCTGGTTTACAATGGTGCCAGTACAGATAATTTGTTTGTTTGTTTGTCTGGTATTCCATGTGCCATTCCTCCAAAACAGCAACTCATTAGAAACAGGGTTTCTAGGAATAAATGAACTTCAATGTATCTTCACAAATGCTGGAAAGGGCCCCTACCACAAAGGAAAGCTCCATTGTCACCACATCCATTGCTCCACAGATTTTTCCTGTGTTACCTGGTTCTTCTTAAGAGTTTGGGATAGAGGGAGTTGCCAAATAAAGGTCCTTCCCAGTTACCAGACACACACAAATCTGCATCAGATCTTTGGTTTGATCCTGCTTTTTTTCTATTATATTAAGTTTTTTAAAAGTTTTATGAAAAACTCAAGATCATGATAACTATGAGAGTGAATGTAGGAGCACAGGATCTGGGTGAGAAATATGGGAATTTTAATATATAGTTACACGATCCCAGCTTTTATGCAGGGTTTGGGGAATATGAGTGTTATTATTCTTTAAATCTTACATTTGCACTAACCATTTTTGTAAATATATTTATAGTAGAAATTTTTGAATTATATTACAAAAAAAAAGTTTGAAATAATCGCATGAATGCAAATTTTAAAAAGACAAATTGATTTTAGCTATCAGAAAGAACCTAATAGACATAGAGTACAAATTGAAAGAAGAGTTAATATCTTCAAAGTACAGAAAAATTAAATAGAAAAATCATTTGAGTGTTGGGGATGTAGCTCAGTGGTTCTGCTGCCTGCCTCACAAGCGCAAGGACCTTAGTTCTATCCCTGGTACCGAAAAGAAAAAAAGAAAAATCATTTGAAGATATAGTGAAAGAAAGTTTACCCGATAATACAAAACTGAAGGGCCAGGGATTTAGCTCAGTGGTTCCACCGCCTGCCTTGAAAGCTGAAGGTCCCGAGTTGGATCCCTGGTACCAAAAAAAAAAAATCTGAAAATAAAAAACTGAATATGCTAATAGAAAAAATATCTGTC